GAAGCTTTTGTTGGATCAATTCGAGTACACTCAATTCTGTCTATACTTGACCTCATTCAACTTTCCTCTCAAGTTTTGAAAGATTCAACAGATTACCCAAGCGAGTCTATAACGCTTGAATTTAGTAGCTATATTAGAGAGGTATGTATGTAGGAAACTGTTTGGAACCTTTGGTGTAGTAATGAATATTACTGGAGTTTTTTTCCCACACCAAATCGTTATTTTTACACCTCGACACGTGTTTCGATCACCAAGTGATCATCTTCAAGAGGAAGATAAAACACTAATAACTACTCAAAACTGAGATTACCCTGATTTTACATATAGAACTCATTTCCAAACATGATTTTTCGTGTACATTTTATTCCATGTGGAGAATTTTTTATTAATTGAAACGTTAACGGGTTCATATACACTTCCATAATCAAATTGATAATTATAGGCTCCGTAAGATTTGGCAATGTTGATTATTTCTATTGTTCCTATTGGTCAATCGAACAAGAAGCGGGAACAGGACCGTGACGTCACCACCCTACCACATTCGATTTTTAATAAATAATTACGGGAAAACTACGGTATTTAGTGAGATGAAACAAAGTGCACTGTTTTTCAATTTAAAATTTCTATCAAGTGAACTATAAACCAAAAATCATGAAACAAGCCCATTGATGATTGAGGGTAGATAACATTTGAACTGACGATAAGGATATGCTACATAACAAAATGGACATGATCAACGGTATTTTCACGTTTTCATCTCTTCATATATACGATAGGTGGCACAGTGGTCTCCTCAAAAGCGTTCTGGTTTAAACAAGTGTCAGAGACTATTTCGAACTGTTTTTTGCTTGTACGCATCATGTCTTGTGCAGTTTCCAAACAGTTTCGGATGTTAGAACCACAACAAACCTAGTGTAGAAGGGTATTACCTAAAGTTACATATTGTATACTTTTTTATCAGCACAGATAAATCTCGCGACAAATTTTGATAATATCCTGTGGGAAAATTCTGAATAATTACACAGCAGTTTATTAATCTGGTTAATGTTACTGAGGTCTTTAATTTATTTATAGTAAATGGTATATGATATTTCTAAAAATATAATTTAGTTTCTATATCCATTCAAAATTTTTGGATTCATGTTGTCCATTTTGTGACCCGCCATATTAACGTACTCATCCCATTATCAAAAATTGACGTTTCGCCTGAAATTGGATCGTCAGTAACAATTTGTGAAAAACGCTATGAACATCGTGACGAAACATGAAAAACTGAAAAACGATTGGCACATTTAAAGCTGTTATATATATCACGACTTAACAATTACTGTGTTCTGTTTTTAGGTGAATCAGTACCTGTAGAGGATCCTAACAAACCGCTAGATGAATTGGAACCTGGAGCTCAGCGCCAATACTCCCTAAATGACTTCGAACTCATACGAGTTATAGGACGTGGCTCCTACGCCAAAGTGTTGATGGTAGAATTGAAAAAAGCTAAGCATATTTATGCTATGAAAGTGATGAAGAAATCACTAGCAAAGGATCATGTGGATATAGAATGGATGCAAACCGAGAAGCATGTTTTTGAAACAGCTTCAAACCATCCATTTTTAGTTGGTTTACACTCGTGCTTCCAAACTCCATCGCGGCTATTTTTTGTCATAGAATTTGTCCGAGGAGGCGATCTTATGTTCCATATGCAACGACAGAGAAGATTGCCGGAAGAGCACGCCAGATTCTATGCCGCAGAAATTTCATTAGCATTGAACTTTTTACATTGCAAGGGTATCATTTACCGGGATTTAAAGTTGGATAACGTTCTCTTAGATCATGAAGGACACATTAAATTGACTGATTATGGTATGTGTAAAGAAGGCATTAGACCAGGAGATACTACGTCAACATTTTGTGGCACTCCTAATTATATTGCACCAGAAATTTTACGTGGTGAAGATTATGGCTTTTCTGTTGATTGGTGGGCATTAGGTGAGTGTTATATTCCTTCT